AACCAATTTTATAGTAAGTACAGTACCTAGAAGTCACATATTTAAGTTCTAACTAGAAATATAGCTACAGGAACACTCGTGAGCACTCAAAACTACTTACATAGTTGGTATCTTAAATATTAATACTCCCAAAAATATAAAGACTATATCAATCCTACTTAGTATTATAAAAAATAATAAAAATAATTAAAGCAGTAATAGCTGCTATTGTGTAATGACTAGTTCAGACTCTTCTTAGTTTTATGTTTTATATGAAGAATATTAGAGAGATCTCTGTGGGCCAGCATTTTGTTTTAGTAGTTATAGATTTCTTTTAACAAAACAAGTACAGGTTTATAAAAAACCACTGAAAACATGGTTTATGTGAGAACTGATTATTCACTGGTTATTTTAAAACTACCGATACTGCACACCTTTAACACCTATGGCCACCTCGTCAAAAAGCGAGTATTCCCTTTATTGCCTCCAAATACTTAATGCACAAATACTCAAACCCTAGTCAATTTTAAGAAGCCTTTAAGTCTCGTGCTGTCACAGTCACTTTGACTCAAAATCATAGAGACAGCATGCGACTTAACAACGTCTTAAAATTGAGTAACGTTTGAATATTTGGACATAAGTCATCCATATTCTAAAAATATATTTAAAATCCAGTAACAAAAGTTAAATGTGAAAAATATGCTCTAGATAAGCCAAACAAAGTCTTAGGTACTTTTTAGAATGAAAAGAAGCATCTTATTATATAACTATCACCCCGGCCACACACTCGTCGAGTGGCATGGGAAGTAGCGAGGAAAGGAGGCAGAGACGTAGTGTGGCCACAATACTCGTCACGCCGCACGACATGCTCCTCGTCATGCCCATAGCTCCCTGTTTTGTCGGTTTTTGGGCGCGAGTCAAAGGACTAGCAATATGAGCGCGAGTGGCTGGCCACATACTCGCGCAAACGCTGTCCGAATCGAGAGCTCGTTACGGAAGCGTCGTGCTATTTCGATGAATAGATGTTATCCACCATCTCTGTTGGCGAGGATGACGACGTCTATTTCTTTTTATGAGATTGATATAACTAGCTATACATACTAAGTATGCATATAGGGCGCATGCTGCCGCAGTTTCAACATACAATGTGTTGTAAACCCGAGCGACCTAGTAAAGAGCAGCGCGAGGAGCATAGGTGGCTGAGCCATATAAATGAGTTGGCATTTAAAAGTCGTTCCAGCCACTTCAGTTGCTTAGCACAATATACAAAAATTTTTATAGAAAAGGAAACAAACGAGCATACGGCTCACCTGATAGTGAGTAACCACCGCTACCCACGACCATCAGCAAAATCGACCTTTTAGAAAGGATCAGAATATTTTTATTTTCTAATAATAATATAATGTATATGGGGATGTAAGTGAAAGAAAATTCTTCGTAAAACGCAAGATAGAGTAGACTGCCATCACGAAAAAACAACCATCGAAATGAAGTGAATAGAAAAAACAGTTCTGTCGCAGACTGCGATTCTACCATCGCAAAATTTTACTATCGCATCGTTCACTATAATTTGCATCATACGATATAATGGTAGAATTCAGTATGTAGCTGGAATCCAAGCAATACCTCGGACTAAGTACTCAATGTGGTATTATTTTGCGATACAAAATTAAATTAGATGTAGCGTCTCTTCGGAAGGGTCAGTAGCTGAAGCCGATCGGAAAGAACTTGGTTGTCAACCATTCAAGCTGCTCTCCGTTCAATGCCCTGAAATGGAAGGAGTTGGCACTATGATGCTCGAGTCCAGAGATGAGAACGGTATTTTATGTGAGACCGATCATGTGCCTTGTAAATTTGCAAGCGATGGGCCAGCATTATCTCACTCCACAAAGCACACCAAACAGTTTAGAAGCCAATTTGGTTTTTCCTTCCAAGTGACTGTGCATTTATACGTCATTCGATATGTTAACGCTAAAGATTTCGACACTGGCTTCTTAGTGAGGGCGGGAGTGTAACAAAGGGAGTGCCCTCAAAAAAATGTAGTAAGTCAAAGGGTTTCCTTTTAACAGTAAATGCACAAACCAGCGTCTTCTTGAAATTAATCTCTAATTAAATTAAAGTTATCTAGTTAATATATTACCTTGGTGTTTAATTTTTTTATTTGAGAAATCACTGTATTATTACTGTCCTTTCTCATCAGACCCACCGAAACCGGTTTTCCACAGATGAACTTCCGGTTTTAATGAAAAAATACTCATAAATTACAGTAGGTTGATTTTCTTTCGAAAGCCGCATTGAGCTAGATAGTGCCTATGGGAAGGGCAGAACATTAATATTCGGTATTCAGAATTTTTCGCATATATATCGAATATCCGAGTGAATCACCGAATGTTAGGTAAAGTTAGGGCGTTATCGCGGAGCAGGAAGAATTTGTAATTATTGCAATTCATACAAATTAATGTGAACTCGGTTTTCGAATCACAAATACTGTTCAAAAGGTCCTAAAACTATCTTAGTTGCAATAGAAATAAGACTTTTATGATTGTAATTAAGTTTAAAAATGCAAAGCAATCAAGAAAATTCTGCTCCGCGCATTGAGTAATATATGTTTACGTAGTACATAGTAGCTCAATGATATAACTCGATTTATTAACGTGATTTACAGTGAACTCTATAATGTAATGAGGTCTTTATTGTTAGCAACGAAACATATTTTTTTATATTTTAATCAATACAACTTATTGGAAGAAATAATGTCTCATTGAATTGCAATATTTTAGAGATTTTAGTAATATTTCTATTACATAGTGTAGCGACAGAAGATAAAATAAAACCGGCCAAGTGCGAGTCGGACTTGCGCACTGAGGGTTCCGAACAAATCCGTAAGTATATATAAGTTTAAAATTATTAATTTTTTTTTTATTACATTACATACATCATGTATCTAAAAATTTATACTTTTCGCAATTTTTCCTTTATCTGTGCTAAAATACGTTGCTTCGTACCAAATTTTAAGATTCTGTGTTCACGGTAAGTACCCTGTAGGTTTTGATTCCCTTTTTTGATTCTTTTGATTCCGTTGGCATAGAAGTTTGATTTTTTCACAGCTCCAAGGGACAGTAGACTTGAGTATTTGATATGAATTTCAGCCTTATACCTGCACGCGTTCCTGAGAAAAAGGGTCTTGACAGACAGACAGACAGAGTTCCGTTTTTTCCTTTTGAGGTACGTAACCCTAAAAATAACTATTTATTGAAAAAAAAATTACTATCGTATAAACTTTACACTATTCCAAATATTCGGCTCGGTATAAGTTTTGCTGAACATTTTGGCAAAATCTACGTTCAAAGCCCATCTCGAAATCGCCATACATCAAGCCCCGACCTCAGCCTTCTAGCGCACGCTTGGTACACGCTCGGACGTTGCGTGAAAGAAAGAAATCCCACTCTAATAACATTTTTGCAATACGAAGTATAGAATGATACTTAAGAAGAATGAGAGAATAATACCCCATGATTGGTTTAAAAACCTAGGGTGCCGAATATGTGATTTAAATATTATAATTTAACAGCCACATTTACAATATGTAGAATAGAATAGAATAGAATAATTTTTGTTCAACATACATTACATGTGTAATTCTTATTGAAAGTCATTTTTTACTTTACCACTGGTTCGAAAAAAAAAACCCTCTGTCCTGGGAAGAACCTACAAGTAACCCAGTGGGACTTTTTTTTTAAATAAATTTTACAATATAAATGATTACGAACTATTAACAAATTTTATTTTAGAAACTGGAAGCGACCACCTCATTCCCAGGGGTTATTATCAACCATGTATTCATTTATACTATAATAACCCGTTTTATACAGTTTCAGCTTAATAAAACATTTAAACTTGGTAATAGATAGGTAGAAGTAATACAAAGTACTACAAAGTAGACAATTATAATTCTGTGACTTTTTAGTTATTAATTGTTTACTTGGTATCTTTTCTATCTAGGATTCTGTCTGGGTAGGTACCAGCCTCTTACTGATTTCTTCCGCCAAAAAGCAGTGCTAACACTGCTATGTTCCGGTCTAAAGGGTCTATAGCTCTATAGTATATAGATAGATAGTATAATTACAGACTGTGAGGCATTTCATCTTTGTCTTCAGAGGTGACAACGTTTCGAACTCAACAAATTCAGAGCCATTGCTCAGAATTACGAAATCCAAATCTTTCCACGACTTTTTCTGCCACTAGGGCGGCGCCACTTAAAAGTGAGGTATAATATTTTTGACAAATTTCATAGCGGGGAAGTTAATTACTTCGGAAAATGTAAAGTTTAATGTTTCTTTCTGTACTTTTAGCTATATTTTATATTAATATGATTAAAAATAAATAAACCAAACCACAGATATTCATAAAAGTAGAAAAATTAAAAACAAGTTAAATATGTGCAAACAATTAAAGAGCAAACCACTGAGGCATTGTTTTGTGTATTAATATAATACTCTAGAAACTGATAAACATTTATTTAAAACTTACTACTCATATAAATGACATTGTGTAACAAAAAAAACTTTACCTCAGTGTCAAGTAGCGACATCTCGTGAGTGGAATAATGTTAGCCCTCATTAAATTAGGTACTACCGCGATCATTTATGAACATTGCTATTAAGAAAATAATTAAGGTGTGTTTGTGTGGAGGGGGCGGGGGGGGGGGAGGCATAGCCTAACTAAAAACCCATTCTAAATTTAGAGCTCTCCTTAGAGCCTTAGACTGCTACATAAAGGCAGTCTATGGAGGAGTCTATTTGCCATAGTAGGCACGCTTGGCATGCGGATTGGCAATCGCAGTTTTTCTTATTATGAGCGTTCCCGGGTAAGTGCTGCTGCTAATCTCCTGTTTCATCGTCGCACCTTACGACATCCACGTGGTGTCAAACATGATGTGGATTCTTTTATGCCGCCACGAACCGGCACATTACACACGGCACACAAATTTACAAATTTGTTTCTAGTTAAAATATTCTTACCGTGAGTAAAGATGTTAATGGTCTCATTGTGGAAATAGAAGAGACTTCGAACACATCCACTCCAATCTTGCAGCGGCCGGTATCCAGTCAACACGTACGGATTGAACTGCAGGTGCTTAGGCATATCTCGCCAATGCAGGAGCTCGACAGTATCGTTAGCAACGGTTTCTTTAGCTCCATTCTCCGCAGGTTTTTCCTCATTCTCACTCGTATTTAATTCCGCCCGCTGTCCCTTATCACAGATATGCTCCAGTGACTTTTTCCTCTTCTTCGGTCCCTTGCCGTTCACTTCTTGAATCGAAGCGTCAAACATTTTTATACACTCATCAGGTACTGTACTAACGTCCCTCATAACGATACAGTTCCCTTATTCTCGAACTGACGAAGAGCGGGAGATTTCACGAATGATGTCGAGTACCGCACCCGCATGACCCGTGATCAGTTTGGTACGAATATCACAGCTAGAGCATGGAATAAGTCGACACCATTGATTAAAACAATTATGAGTAGAGTTTTCTTTCAACGAATTAGGTTTTTAGTTAGGGCACGCGACCCTCGATTATGCCGATACGTGCGACAAAGTCGCGCTAGGTTAGCGGGCCACGGAGGCGCGCGACTGTCCGGGCGCCGCCGCAGACCCTAACCCCTGCCCCTTTCAACCACCCCTTGCCCCTCATATTTGCGCACTGCGCAATCCCGATCAGCTGATTCCCGCCAGGACAACCCGTTAGGCATTTCACGATAATCGTACTTTCACTTATAGCGTGTGCTCATTCTTAATCACCCTTACTTTTACCACAGTTTAAAGACAGGTGTTGAAATTGTGCTATTACATTTCTCAATCTAATAATTTACTACAAATAGATAAAATTATGGTAGAACAATTTAAAATTATAAATACCTACAATAGATTCGAAATCAAACAGATAAGTTCGTGTTGTAATGGTAAATGATTAACCTAAAATACGTTTTATTTATTTCTTTAACTTCATACAACAAAATGTATATGATGTATATTTTTATGTATGTTATATCTTTATATATAAAAATTACGTGTCACATTGGTTGTCTCCTTTGAACTCCTGAACTACTAAACTGATTGCAATGAAATTTGGCACACTGTGTGCAGTTTGGTCCAACTTGAGAGATAGGATAGGATTCCTATAAGTGACCCTAAATATTTTTATTAAGAATTTTTATAGGACACAGGGTCGTCGGAGAGAGCAGAACAACGTCTGCCTGGCCAGCTAATATTTGATATAAGTAAACGATGTCCTGTTTTTCTTCGATATGCCCGAAGCCCTAAATCTTCATTTAACACCCTTTTCACCGTGGTTCTGCTTAACCCCATCTGAAGGGCCAACAGTTTCTGCTTACATTTGGGATTTCTTTGAATTCGCGCCTTCATAGCTTTTATCACTGCTGGAGTCCTAACAGACCGAGGGCGACCACTTCTTGACCTGTCATCTACACTAGAGTCTTCATTGTATCGTTTGATGGTACGATAAACGAATCTTTTGGTTATATTCAAATTTTTCAGTATTTCAAAAATTTGAATTGGCGCGTAACCGCAACGATGCAACGCAATAACTGTCCACTCCATATTTAAAAATGAGTAAAATTCTAAAAAGTATACAGTTTTATTTTCATGAACAATTCGAAATTCGAATTCAATAACCTTTTTTGTGGCCAGCATTCTAAAAGAAAAGTTTTTACTGTGTGACAATACTTATGACCTGACTAGGTATATATAAAAGTGCTAATAATGAGATGATTATGCCACTTTATTCAAATAATTTTCCTGAACTTTTTTCTGGAATGTTTATGCACAACGAATATTAGCCGTTCTAATTTTAAGAGGTAGTGCGTTCCAGAGGAGAATAGCCTGTACAGTGAAGGATGAATGCAGAAAGAGAAGCCAGATCTATAAGGACACATAAGTAAAAGGTTATTCGAAGAACACAGGTTTCTGTCATGGCTGGAGCAAAGGTACTGAAAGTGGAAGTTAAGTAATAATCGAATGCAGTTATTAAGAAGACGATAATATTTGCCAAGAAGATCTGCATTCATGTCAAAATAACACACATTATGGTAATCAATCGGGGGAAGAATTAAGGATTGCACAATTAATTATTTGGTCCTGGATGAATGTAGGTGATATTTATCACTTGGGAATGCGAACTCAAAGTGGAGTCAATGTCTAAGCCAAGATCCTCGACAGAAGCCGATAATCCCAAAATAGAGATCGTTTATAGAGCGGTAGTGTAAAAATTGTTAATGCGACGGCTACCTACTATTATGGCCTCACACTTGTTTGGATTAACAGTTAAATCACTTACTTTTTACAATAATAATATAATTGAACCGTCGAACTCGGAACACACCTTTGTGTGTCTGTGCAATTTCTAATAAAATGTCCGCATGTACACTTTATTAAAAGATATATTTAAGTATATCATTTTTAACTTTATCTAATCAATAAAATGTGATTTTGAAAAAAGAATATCCACACCCACGCCACGGCCTAAAAAGAATAGACTGTGCCCACGACTTATTAGTTTCGCGGTCCTACTAATAACTATTGTATAAGTGTAAAATAACTCTTACGTAGGTATAACTTTATCTGGATAATCTTTGATAGAAGATATTTTAATAACAAAGTCTCACTTTATGTGTTACGAAGTCTATCTCAAGGTCTCCGTAAAGTTACTCAATTCTTATATACCCAGGGTACGTTTATAATACTGCTGGTAACTTTATCCTGGAATCTGTATAATTCAAGCATTCGATTGCTTTGAACAACCCCTTAGCAGGTGTATAAGGAGGTCCACATTGGCAATAATAATAAAAGAGATTTGAATATTTATTAATATAAACTCACCAGTAGGTATGTAGGCTTTCCAGTTGATATTACCTCACCTTGTCTAGCAGCATTAAGTAGTTCTTCTACTTTGCCGCAACAGATTTTCACATTTTTCGAAAGTTTAGATAACTTTCTGAGTGTCAAAAACTTCCGAAGAAGCAAAACGAACGCTTATAAAGAGTGCAATAGATGAAATATTTAAATTAATTAGTTTTTGTAAAAAAGAAAATTCCTATACAAAATGGCGGACAGAACGTGTCATGTTAAACATGACGCTAAAGGACCCCAAAAGAGCAGAAGATATTACATCTAAAACGAAGATGGAAGACATACTTATTTAAAAAATAGACAATTGAAATGGCAGTGTACAGGACACATGACAAGGGGCATCAGGATAAAATGGACGAAAATCATAACGGAATGGAAACCACGTGATGGCAAACGAAAAAGAGGCAGACAGGTTAAAAGAAGCACAATTTGGTCAAGAAAAACCAACAATAAGGAAGAATAGACAAGTCCATATAAAATCTATGACCCGTAACACGCGTACGGTAGTTCTCCGTTCAAAATTTTGTGGGCATAACGGAATCCCGAAACGGAATTCCGTATGTATGTGGCTTGTTTGTTTGAGTCGGTTTGAGTGGACCCCTCGACGGTTTAGATTCTCAATTGGACCCGGTAGGTGACGCTGATATCGAGATCTAGAAATCACCCGTGCGAAGCCGGGTCGGAACGCTAGTAATAATATAATAATTAAATGACTAATGCTTATAGTACAGTACACATTAGCATAGTTTACTTCTCTAATTACTAATGAAACATTTACATGGAGCATGCTTATAAATATTTACTTGACAGAAAAACCCTTAAATTAAATACTGAAGATCTATATGCATATGTCTATGTAAAAATCCAATAACTGATAGAGAAAATGATGCAAATTATTGTATGGAACGTAAGCAAAGTACGGAACAAATGGTGTCTGCGTGACAAACCAATTATAAGCCAAAACTTCTACCAAAAAATGTACTCTGTGACTAAAAACATGTCGATCTAACCTACTATAATGTGGGAATCTACGGCCAATTACTATTCTTTGGAATCTACTAAATCTGTTCACGCAATATTTATACACATATTAAACATAAAAATACTTGAAATTCTATTCAGGTGTTGTTATGTTTAATTTAAAGTAATAATGTTTTCTAACGTTAATAACAAATTAATAAAAATTAACGCATAGGAAAACTGAAATTTTGCCATCACAAAACGTTTCTTATGAAGAATTATGTTGGCAATAACACCTATCACTAGACCTTCACAAGATGGCGTTGTAGCTTCCTCTTTGATAGACGTATATTAATTCGACATTTTGAGATCATTAATGATATAGATATTTATTTATTACAATGTTTTAAATAAATTATTCCATAAATATATCACTCTTTAACTTTTTGTGGTTTTTTACTATGTATTTAAAATAAGTTTGTTTGTTGATAGGGAAGTAATTTGAAGTGCGATTTACGCCAACACAGTGGAACCAACTGTCAAGACTTGTCTGTCTTGCTCTCGGATCGATGTTCGGCCCTTTATTGCGAAGAAGCATTCTACAGGGATCAGCAACACGAACTTGGAATTGTCTTACTAATTTCACTCAACTACTTTGGTGTAAATTGAAATATTTACGAGAATTGAGGGTAAGTTTACATAGTATTTTATTACTTTCAAAATTGGCGTGCCTAGGGCTCCTTCAAGTCGTAGAACGAACATGGCGTCAGCATGTAAATAACTTAGTGACATCTATCGTTTATCGCATCATAGTAATTGGTGTTTTTTCTCACGATATAATTTTATAGAATCAATAGAATTTGTTTTAGTAGACGCTTTTGTAAAGGATTGTAGTCACTTTTACTGCGAGTAAATTGTTTAAAGTTAATTTACTATCATACATACTGCGACACTACAGCTGTCGAAAGTTGTAAATTGTATATACAGTTCCACAAATCACTGTTTTCATTATTATCACTATTATCTTGTTATATGTTCTGGGGTAGAGGTTCAAGTGATAATACTATTAGATTCAATTTGAGTAAAAGAAATAGTTCTTATATTCCTATGCAATTTTTAGGTAGCTAAGTATTTAGGGTGATGTTAAGATAATCACTAGTGTAGCTTTTCTAATTGTTGCATGCGGGAATTGTAGATTTGTCTCTCATTATTTCGTGACCAGTAACCAGTGGTCTAAAAAGTTTAATGTTTTTCAGCCTAAACCGCTTGGATACGAGTTTTGGTATCCTTGTTATGGTAAGTGAAGGTACTAGATGTATTACCTATTTAACTTTTATTATTATTTACCAAAGTGCTTAAACCATATCTTATTAGAATGACTAGTTAACGTATTAAAGCATGACTTTTGGAATGGCTTTTAACATCTTTATATATTTTTCATACTAAATATCAAAGAGTCTTGAAAATTAATCACTGACATG